ATCACCACGGATGAGGATGAGGCTAGAGTAGCGATCGGGTTGTCCACCTCCGGGAGCTGGAGTGCCTGGTCAAAGGTGGGGTTGAGGTTATAGAACCTCTGCTCATTGCCCCCCGGATTGGGGAAGAACCCTGGTTTAACCCACTGAGATTTTAGGACCTCTATGAACATCTCTGGAGTTGGAATCTCCTCCTTTTTTTACCAGGGGTCTATGAAAGGGGCCCTTTTTCCTCCCCTTACTGGTGCTAGGTGTGGCAGTGGTCGGCCTGGGTTTTGGAGGGGGATCCAGGTCCGCTGTGTCCCTGGCCTTACGAAGTAGGGAACTAAATAAGGGGGGGGGAAACAGGCCCGTGATGTTGGGGGCCTCTGTAGACTGAGCATCCTCATCCTCATAGAACCCCACGTCTTTCAGCTCCCCGTCTTCTAAATCTTCGCTGGCAGTGGAGGGAGAAGGGGACCTGTGCTCTCTGGCCACAGAGGCTCTGGGAAGAGTCTGATGATCTCTGGGCAGGTCCCGGGATGATCCCTGTTGTGAGGCCTGGGGTTGGTGCTGCATCCCAGCGGCCATCACTTGAGCTAAGGCCCTGGCTAAAACCTCCTGGAAACACTCAGGTAACTCTGGGAAGGCAGGACGGAGCTCTGGAGGTTGCAGGTGATCCCTTGCCTCTGGTGAACTTGGTGCCAGCCTGGGCCTAGCTGGGCTGGAAACCCTGCGACCAAAGGGATCCCCCCTCGTTTCAAAGGAATGAGCAGGCGAAAGGGGGGGGGGGCGAAATGGAGCTATGCCTCCTGCCTGAGCTCCTGGAGGAGCCAGGGGAGGGCGCCTGGGCCTCTGCCAGTGCAGGGAGCCTGCGGGGGGAGCGTGTTCTGGAAGGCGATGGGCTGATGGTGTCCCTGAACCTTCTTGAGGCGGCCCTGGTGACTCGGCCTCCCTGGGAGCGGGGCTCCTTCCTGGGTGCCCTGGGCTTTCCTCTTTTGTCGGGGGATCTCCCTCTGGGCCCCCGGGAAGCTCCCTTAGAAGTCCCCTGGCCTGGATCAGAGTCCCTTGGTCTCAGGCCTGCACCCCTGCGCTTCGCCGCCTCCGCCATAAAACTCACAGTTTTGTTGCTCACTCACTCCTTGTTCTCTGCTGGCTAATCTTCTCTTTCCCAGCTGGCTTGCACCGAGGCTTCTAGGCCTTCTGCGGATCCACCGGCAGAATAGGGCCGCTCTAGGCCTCTTCCGGCCTTCTCAATGCTCTCTGAGCGCTTTCGGCTTCCGTGGGAGGAATGCCGATCACGCGCTCGACCACGTGCTCTCTTCAAGATGGCGGAGGGCCAAGATGGCGGCCGCCAGTCTCCACTACGATTCTCTGCTGCTTGGGAGCGTTGGGGGAAGATTTGTCGGCTCCCCGGTCCTCTGCTGGGCTCCTGGGTGCGAAGGGGCCTCCAAACGGCTCGCACGGCTCCTTTTGCCCTCTTACGCAACTGTCTGGTTGCTGGGGATCGCAACAGCGCGGCTGTCTAGCGCTGAGAGCACAGCAGGAGGGGTGAGTAATCCACAGAATCCTCTTAAAGAAAAAATGCTGTAAGGAAAAAAGGCCTTAAATCCTAAGGCAAAGTGATGCAGCCTGTAAAATCCTGGGGATTCTTAGAGGCTGCAATCCTAGAAAAACCTGAAGGAAAAAAACCCTAAACTTTTCAGGTGAGGGAGAGTCTGGAAAACACTCCTTCTGGGCTGGAGTCTGAGGTTAATCTGGGAGAACAAGAGGAGGATCAGAGGCGTGGCTTCAAAGATTATCCTCAGACTCCAAGGGCAAGAAGGCTGGGTTAATACCCATCTGTTACTCCTCCCACACCTCACTCTGGAAACGGGCTTAGATATTTTGTCAACTAATTTTTGTTTAGAATATGTTATAAAGGTTTAAGGCTATTGGATGACTCTGTAAT